GTCATTATGAATTTTTAAAATCATGCCTTAGGTTCGTATTCAGCAACATCAGAAACATATGTAAGAACCTGCTGTTACTTCTTCTTGTGTTCTTTTTTAGTGTTGAGTTCTGCAGAGGAAAAAGTTGTAAATCAAAATCTAATTTACGGTTAGTTTAGACGCCATATTTGAGACGGCGTGTTGAAGGCCACACTGTTTTCAATGGGGGTGTCTATGTGATTATTATAAGACCTTAACCTTTGTAATCCGTCCTATAGAATTTTGGCCACCGTACTGTACCTACCGGTTGCTGTGATGTGGAAATGAATTTTACGCCGCTTCCCTTGCATCGCTATGTGTGGCACGTTTCCGGTCGTGATCTAAGCGTCGCGAAAAAAAATGTTCATAAAAAAGTGGTGGAGAATGAAATTCTCTACAACTTTGGCATTTGAATACATATTCACGTATTTTCAACAGAAATTTTTGAAAAAATGGTGAAAACCGTGACAATGTAAAAATTTTTCGCAGTTTTGGCTAATTATTTTCAATAAAAATTGTTTTTTTGTTTAACTTTTTATATAAAAAATGTGAGAACTTAAAATCTCTACAAATTTGTATTTATCCATTTTTTACGAAAAAAAAACCTAAAATCCAAGGTGGCGGAATGTTGAAATATGAAATTTATGGGTAAGACTGTGGATTCATGATCTATGTTTCAAATAGAAGTAAATTGCATCGAAAATCGCTACTACCTATTATTTTTGAGAAAAAGTCAAATTTTACTAATTCTTTAAAACACCGATTTTTTTTTTTTAAATATTCCGAATACATACATACATAATGCGAGAAAGTTACGTTTTGCATTTATTTTAACGGTGTAAAGATCAATTCAAATCACCTTATGCATGGAAGTGCTTATACATACATATGTACATACAGACATATGTATATTGGTATGTTATTTTATTTAGAAAGAAACATAGCTAATAAATCAAGTTACTAATTGCAGAGATAATGATTTCACCGCATGTCTTACTAAGGCAAAATTCTTTGCAAAACTATGTAAGTACACAAATCGTTTTCTCAAAAAAAAAATAAAATAAAAATGTTTTTTACTTATTTACAAATATATAAATACTCGTACAGACATATGTTATAGTTTCATTTCTTATCTACTGACCAAAAAATTCAGTAAAAGTTGATAAGAAAATACGTAGGAAGAATGTGTATATAAGTATGTAGATACATACTTATATTTTGCATTTTGTATTGGCCCAAAATCAATAGGGCCGGATTATAAGGCAGTGTAGGCAACTGCCTATGGGCACCGAACAGAGAGAAAAAAATTTTCAAAATGTTTCAACGAGTTAGTGAAATTTAAGAATTTAAGCTATTTAAGAAATTTAACTTCAAAAATTAATTTTCAATTCACACATGTATGTATTTAATGAGAAAACGTATGCTCGATAAGTGATGAAAATCAGCGTGGGCGTAGAAGGAAAAGGCATCACGATGAGGGATCTGCAGAAGACGTTGTGCTTAGAGGAAAAGAGAATTTCAAAATTGAGACTTATTTACCTATACTGGACGAACTGTGTACAGAATTGTCGCGGCGACTAAAGGCTTATCGGAACATTAATTCTCTCTCTAATCGGATTTCTAGCATTGTATAAGTACATTAAGAAGCTACGCCTTTGACTGATTAATGGTGTAGTGAAAAAATGGCCTAATTATAGTATATACATATATAAAAATTTATTTTGCCGCCCCGAAAGTTACAACTGCCCAGGGGCCCCGACATGGTTAATCCGGCCGTGCATGTATTCCTCAAAATGCTCGTTTCTGGGGCACTTAGAGTCGCTATATGAATCATGCAGAACCGTTACATCCACCCAAAACCATTGTATGTAACGCACGCCAAAAATGAGTAAAATTGTTTCGATATTTCCCGATGCTGGGAATTTCGTGATGAAAATTATATAATACTAGTATCGCCCAGTTGTCGAAATTCGAGATCTTTTTTTATACACTTTTGAATTTTGCTTGTCACCAATATCCTTTATGCGAATGACGATTTGTAGTCCACCACCAAAATCTATTGCGAATTTACAGGAAAACTTAACACCAAATTTCTTCAGTAGTTTTCGAAATTATACCGATAAGGGAACCTCAATTTTCATTTATAAAAAATATGTGATATGTATTTGTATGCATAGGTGATATTCTTAACGGTTCCTCACTGACTAATATGTGAAAGATATACCAGTTCAGACTGTAAATATCGAGGGCTTATATTCAATACCCTCAATCTACATTTTTCACAAAAATGAGATTCTGATATAAAAATCCACCTAAGACTTAACTGTCATCCGAGATGTTAATGCTGACCTTGTATAACGCTTGACAGAAGAATTTATTTTAAATTGCAAAGTCAGAATTAATATCAGTGATGACAGGTAAGTCCCAGTTGGGTTTTAACATCACAAAGTTGTTTCTGTGAAAATTGCAGATAGAGGGTATTGAATATAAGCCCTCGATATGTTTTTCGATTATATTGGTCTGAGAGCCCTTTGGAAGGTTAAAAACTATATTGCCAGATCAACATAAATTCCTATTTCTTTTCATTAGAATCTGTAGAGGTTAAGTACCTCGAAGGTGTAAAACAAAATATAATCAGGGTATTCATCTAAACGAGTAAATGCCTCGTAACTGTGTAAACCTTGTAACTAAACCGGTTTCCCATACAAAATTAAGTAAGTTTACGAGGTTTACGTGGTTACGAGGCATTTACGCGTTTATATGAATTGCCCTAATATATCTTTCTCTAACGGCGGTTTTACCTGGTGTTTTGTCAAGAATTGGCCTAAAGTCCAATATTTTTGCACCACACAATTGCGATTCGGCAAAAACTTCGTTTGTTCTTTTACCGAAGCTAAGCAATCAGCAGAATTTGTAAATATTGCCGATAATTCGGCAAACCGAAGCCGAAACCGAACGTTCTCTCGAACTCCACTCCAAACGGATAGTCATTATTCTGTTATGGCTCGACCTTGGTATTAATCCGTACATTTTTTACTGGGATATTTTATTTAACTTATAAATTGAATTGAAGTTAACTTTTTAAGCCGGTGGTAAATACCTTCAAAAGCCTTTCTTCTTTAACTTCTATCGTTTGGCACCCATATTAAGATATGATTTTCTATTTAACATTCATATATTGCAATTTGCAATATTTTAATTTATTAGTTTAAAGGAATTCAAATTTTTGGGTCGATGGCAATCCTCGTTTTTTACGCAAGGCTTTCCTTCGTTTCAATATATGGGTAATATTGAAGTTATTAATTAAACTACATCGCCCTCACCCGCTTCGCTGAGTGTATGAAATTTTTGCGTGTTATTATAGGTGAAATTTATTTCAATAAAACTGAACATACTTAACCTATGCCAAAACCAGAAGATTTAAAATTTTTTTAATCATCTTCAAAACAAATTCAAACTAAAATTTTCTTAAACCTCTCTCTTGTGATGCTTTTCAATTAACTAATTCCCTGAAATCAATTTGAGATTTTAAACGGATGGCAACCCCCTTAAATGTAATTTTTAAATGAGTCCCTTTTAAAACCGTTTCCATTAATACTCACATTGTAAAAATTCATTGAAATTATGGAATACATAGTTTGAATTTAACTTTTTAAACAGTTGGCAACCTCTCTCGTCTGTCAATCATATTGCGCTACATATATATGTATTTAAATTACCTAATTACCATAATTTAAGTTGAAGTTCGTACCTATTCATGTATATTTTAATAACTCATTTAACCTATAAAAGAATTGTATTTGGCTTTAGTTTTGAAACAGCTTGTAACTCTCTCAAATACCCCCGAAAATTCTACCTGTTCAAACTTAAGATGTCTAAATGCTCTTGCGTGTGACAGTTGAACTTGTGTTTAGTTTAATTAAATTTAACCTTTCAAACACGTGGCAACCCTCTTAAAAATATTTTAATACTACAACCTTATTTAACTCCTTCCATCTGATACTCATATTAGCACACATATTTCAATTACATACCTATTTTTCCTAATTCAAGTGAAATTTGAAAATTTGTTCAAATAGGTGGCAACTCTGATACATATAGATGAGAAGTTAGGCCTTTTCAAAACCATTTCGATTCATACCCTTATTGTAATAATTCATTTATTTTAATCGAGTTTAATTTTTAACAATGGTTGCCGTTAAGGGCCTCAATAATGTTCAAAATTTTTACACTAAATGTTTCTTAAAAAATTCGGTTGACACCTATATGTTAATTTTTCAGACAGTTTGCGAATAATTAATTTAAATTTCACTTTTCAAACAGGTGGCAACCCTTTTAAAAATATTTTCAAACTAAAACTTTTTAATAAATAATTCCCTTAATTCAAGTAGAATTTGTTTTTTTTTTTGTAATAGGTGGCAGCACTCCTCGAGCATGGAATTGATTTTACATATCTCCATACCAAGTTTCAGTATTCTATCACAAATATTTCCTGAGATATGCAGTATGAAAAATTCTGTTTGTTTGGCTAAATGACACCAGTGTACAAAATTTCATGATGATGATGATGTGAAGGCGTAACCAACAAACAAACAAACTCACATCAAGGATTTAACCAGCCGAAGATATTTTTGAAATAAAATTTGTTAGACCTCTTTTGCTTGTAAGTTGAATTTAAGTTATTAATAAAATTAAATTACATATTTTAAACATATGGCAACCCTTTTAATATTTTAAGATGTGGGGCTTTCCAAATTCCTTCCCTTCTAATATCTATCCATACATTTTTATGTTTAATTTCACTTATATAAATCGCATTTAACCATTTAAAAAGGTGGCAACTCTTAAAAAGTATTTAAGAAAAAACGCATTTTTAAAATAAGTAAATTAATTAATTATTAATTAATTAATTATGAATGCATTTAATTAGAATTGTACAATGTTGACAGTTTGTTCTTCTTTTTAAATTAGATAATCGATGTATTCGCAATCTTGTCGTGCACTCCTTCGATGAGCAACACTACAGCAGTGTAGTGATTCGTTTAAAACATCTTCGCCAACCACAATCTACTACATATGAACACAAAAGCAGGTATCAAAAGTTTTATGCTAGCCGCACTGAAACTGAAAGCTCCACCAGAGACGTTCAATGCTGCCGTGCCATTTAATGCAGCCGTAGCAAAACCAACCCTATTATTGCCCATATCGAATACTGTGTAATATTGACCAATGAAGACATCACCCAAAATCCAAAAATTCGTATCGGCATCCTCAAAAGCAGACATACACACTATATCGCCATTTTCATCTTCAGTTTCAATTATATACTGAGAACTAGTGAGGTTGAAGGTGGTGCCACCTATGGTGAATGAAATGATCGGCAAACTTGACAATGCAGCACACTCCACAAGGTATTCTCCCTCGCTGTAGACAGCACCAATTGCATTCTGTATATTCTCCAAGAGGCTGCTTGGCACAGCTAACAAACTTGTACCGGTATCGGCTATAGCAGAGCAATCGAGACAAGCATTAGTACCATCAATGCTGACCGAGTCCATATTGAATTGCCAATAGCCTTCGATTGTGACGGGCACGTAGGTCAACTCGCCACTGTAGTGATTTGTATCGATGCCACCGAGCGTAAGTTCACCACCTTGCAAGGATGTGCCATTACGTGTCAAATAGAAAGCGAATACGGGCGAGTCAATTAAACCTTGTGAGTATAAATTATAGAAGGGTGGCACCACATTGTCAACAGCAATCGTTTGATAGCCCATGCCAAGTATGCCATCGAATTCCGAATCGACGAATGTGTTACCAGGCTCGGATGTTGCAACTGCGAAGGTTTGTCCCGTTATAGCCAAATCGCTAATTGACACAGTATCGGCCACCAAGTAACCCGTAAGATTTCCAGTGCCATATTGTATGGCAAAACTTTGTCCATTAGGCTGATATGTGCTGGATATGTTCGAATTGTATGTATTGTGATCTTGACAAGCTTGATCGGTGGATGCACAAGGTGCGCCGGGTACCCACAGATTCGATGAACCGGTGTCGAAGAGAACTTGAAAGCTTTGCGGTGGTGTGCCAATAGTGATGGATCCATAGTACTGATCGTCAACGTAGTTGCTCAATTGTTCTGCTGTGACAACGAAACTTGAGTTATACTTGCTACGCAGCACAGCCACCTGGGAGCCAACATTCTTGATGGAGCGTAACTTGTTGGGTTTTTTTAGTGGAACACGCACGAGCGCTGTATCGACGACGAACGCAAGGAACAAAACACCAACTGCCAACTTTAGCATTTCGACTGACCGATGGAGTGGAAGGTGCAGATGCCACAAGTAATAAATTTGTATCTATTTATGTAACCTCCTGATATTCGAATATTAAATAATAGAGTGAGTAGGTTTGGTGAAAATGCTTTCTATATATAACCATGCATACACATAGAATATCTTATCAGCGCGATTGCACTGAGCGGGTTTTAAGCTTCTAAATAAGTAAACAGACATAGCAGAAAAGTACATACATTGTCATTTCAGGTATTTGTATGTCACCAAATGATAAAATCGAAAGTCTATGTGCTTTCGACCTACGATACAGAAATGTATACAAATATGTATGTACTACTTCAATGTATTTTTTGTGGTGTTACTCCCTCTCACTACAGCCAAAACTCTTATAGACTTATAACATTAATTAAATTAATATACCTATGCAGAAAGTCCGCGATATGTAGACTCGAGTTATAAAATTATAAATTTTATTTTTATTTATGCCTACTCCCTAAATACCTTTGTAAAATAAAGAAGAAATTTGAAAGAATATCTCTCTTTATAAAGCTCTTTAAATCTATTTTTTT